AACCCACTGGCAGGTTTTGGGGTTTGGTGGGTTAACTGCTGCTCACCTCCTCTTAAAGTTTTCCAGAAAAACAATAAAGGAGCAATCAGAAAACTCTCCAGCGTCGGGCTTCAGGGGAAATGAGTGGGCTGCAGAACATTAAACTGCTGGATGTCGAGGCTTGTTTGCATCACGCTATCAAACCTGAAGAAGCCACAATGATGTTGCGTAAAAGTGACTCTTAAAGTATGAAGTGAAATAATCTCCCAGCTTGTCTCTGATCTGCCGGAACTTTCTCCGAGGGCCCTTTGCCGCTGCAGAGCGACGAGTTTCAACACGCCGCCGCTCACATGCTGCGTGAATCACTGCAGAAGTATTCCAGCAGCAGAACTGAAAGCGCTGCGAGCTTCTGCTTTTAGTCCGAGATGGAAGGAGCTCCGTCACCGCAGAACCGAGGCAACTGACGATCACAGCGGTTCCTGTCAGTCAGGTTTCATTCATGTACAAAAAAAACATGGCCCGAGGCTGCCGCTGAGCAGCACACTGACCGACTTCAGCGGAGCTTTTACCCGACGGCACCTCAGCTGTTTGGTTCTCCGAGCGTTTGAACGTCACATTTTCTGGGTCAGTTTGTCCTGATGTCACCAAAGACAACACAACCACGGAGGAGAACTCAGACATGTCCTCTGTGCAGAATGATCGAATGACAGAAATCGGAGAAAAGGAAAGAAAAAACTTTGAAGTCCAACATTTTTCCAAGTGTTCACAGCTGTCACCAATAAGAAAAGCTGGAGGCTCCACAAACTATAGACAATGAACTCTTTACAGATGTTTACAGCCTCTACAAACAACACAGTTTTTGTCATTTCACTTCTCTTTGCAGTTGCTTTATCTTGTCTTTGTTATTTTATGTTCTTGTCTGTGTCTGATTCTATTGAAGCGTTTTCTGTCTCGTCCGTCTTTTTCTGTCTCGTTTTTCTAATTCTGTGTCTCTTTTTCTTGTTTTGGTCGTTTCATGTTTCTTCAAGACAGTTTTCCCACTTTGTTGTTATTCTGTGTCCGGTTTTCTTGTTCTGTACGTGTTTGTGGTCCTTTTGGCTCCACGTACTACAAATATTAAACTATCTCCATGTTTCAGTCTTTTTGGACATTTTTTTTTCTCTTTTCAAGCATTTCAACAAGTTTAAGACACTTGGGACAGAATTTTAGTCATTTTAGACGCATTTTAAGTCACTTTTAGCAACTTTTGAGTCGTTTCATCAATCAGTCGGAGAAGTTTTCGTCATTCTTGACAAACTTTGAAGTTACTTTGGACACGTTTGCATCATTCTGGACGATTTAGAGTCACTCTGATTACAAACATCTCCGTGTTCCAGCCTCTACAGACTTTTCCTCTCTGCTCTGCTCATCAGCTGTAGGCAGATGTTCCACCATCAGCTGTAGGCAGATGTTCCACCATCAGCTGTAGGCAGATGTTCCACCATCAGCTGTAGACAGATGTTCCACCATCAGCTGTAGGAAGATGTTCCACCATCAGCTGGACGTATCTCCAACAACCGGTTCCTCTGTTCACTGCTTTGAGCCATGCTGCATTTATGTATCGATCCAGTAGGTTTGATTTTTACTCTCAGTCTCTGAGGAAACTCTGCCTGCAGTTCAACCTAAAAACTCTCTGACCTTTACACTGTTGGTCACAGCTGAGTCAGTGGTGGTCGATCAGTTGTGCTGAGGAGGAAAGAAGGTTTTGGTTTCTACAGAATCTGGTTTCAGCAAATCCTTTATTGTTGATGATTTTTTAAAATGACAGAAGCGAGTTTGAAGCATCCCAATTTTAGGCTCAGATTTAGTCATTGTTCACAGACGATACGTTGAAGGACTGTTGGGATGTTTAAAATTTAAAGATTCTTTTGTGGATTTATGGTAGTAGTCAAACCTTTATTCGTGGTGGTGTGACTATTCATTTGGTGTTAGTCACAGTATTTATTTGATTGAATCAGGAGCCGGCAGGTTCGGACACGATTTGTTTTTGGGGAATGTTTGAATAAGACGTAGATTAAAGGGATTTTGATGAAAGGTCATGATTTGAAGCTCAGCTTTGGTTAAATTTGAGAATGTTAACTTTGAGTACTTCATACATCTGTTTTTATCTCAGAATTTTCACCATCCGTCAGTGTTTTTTGACACGTTATTTTACGGTTTTTACTTTTCATCTCACATTTGCAAACCTTTTAATTCTGAGGTTTTGCTCCATAATTCTGACATGAGTCGAGATATTGCTTTTTTATCATGACATTTTTGCTTCTATCTTATAATTTGGACTCTTGCCTCACGGTTATGACTTATAATTTGATCATTAAATTAGATCTGATGAAACATCAACATTTAAAGCTTTATGTAGATTTAATTTTCCTGCAGAACAACACGTCACAGATGCTCAAAACGGTCTGACAGTTTAAAGAAAATCAGATGTTTCCTTCTGCCTCTACAGTTTCTGCCTGATAAATAATGTCAGCTTTGTATTTCTTTAAGGACAACTTTTTCAAGCCACATAATTTCCAAACGTGTTTTTTATGAGCTGATAATATTTAACGAGTGTTGCTCTGCCTTGATTCTGCTTCTGTCTTGGTACTGAAGCTCTCAGTTGTGTTTGAGTGTTGTCTGTAATCCTGAGCTCTGCAGGAGCAGCTGCCAATCAACACATCTGTACCCCGAACTCAGCTTTAACACTTTCAGCTGCAAACACGCCGTTACACAACTCTAAGAAGACTTTATCGATGTTGAGCGGAGCACCGTGACCTTTAGCAGGTTTGATAACCACAATACAACCAAGTGATAAAGAGCCATAAATTGCCTTGATAAATAGCATGCGGAGCTCCGTTCAGCTCCGACACCTTTAATTTGAAATCCCACCGCAGTAAACAACATTAGCAGATGTGTTGTCACTTCCTCGATCTCTGATAGTCAGGAATCAGTCCAACGTCTCTGAAGGTGCAAGGGTCTGACAGCAGCTGATAACGGAGCAGCTTCACATCAGCTCTGATTAGTGGCTCACATACCTCCCACCGTCCACCTGGCCGCCCCCCCACAGCTCCTGAAACGAAACCTGCCTGCTGTCAGCTGATCGGTGAGGAATTCAAGACTTCAGCGACAGAAGAAACACAACAGGAATCCACGACCAGATGGAGAGGATCCATCTCTGAAGTCTTTAACTTGCGTGGGAACTCTTAAAACCTGAGTTTAAACTCCACACGTTCAGACAGTCGCAGCTCTGAAGCAGGATTTAAAAAAAACAACAACTCTCAAGAATTAAATCCTCCACTTGAGCGCAACTGAAAATTGGAGAGCGGGTTAACATCAGCACCCAGTTTAACCCTCTGAGCTCTAAAACCTGCAGGCAGGTCTAAAAGGCCTGTTATCATTAAAACAATATTAAAATGACACCATTTATCATTCAAACACTGAAAACAGAACGAATCGTCACACTTTCAATTTTCAGATGGTCTTTGAACGCATCACAAGTGATACGTGGTTAAGTCAAGAAAAGTAATCAAATCTGAGCCTTAACTCTTAATATTTCACCAAAATTACGTCATTCTACATGCCCCATTGGAAA